GCCTTATTTATAAATTTATAAAATAAGAATAATAATAGCACCTTTCTCCCATGGTTGTGAGGATAAAATGAGATATGTGAAAACTGCTTTGTTGATCTTAAAACATTTGTATAAATGCTAGCTATCATATTTCAGGCCCTGGTCTTTCCTGTCTGGGCTGTTGTGCTGTTCACCGAATTGATCTCCCTACCTCAAGTTTCACACTGCTGCAATCCATCCTCCACAAAGCTGCCAAAGTGATTTTCCTCATGCACAAGTCTGACCTTGTCACTTTTCTAATCCAATGGTCCCCTGTTGTCTCTAGGATAAAATATAAACTCTTCTATTAGGCTTTTAAAGTCCTTCACAATCTGTCCTCAATTTAATTTTCTTGTCTTATATGTTACTACCCTTCCTGTACTTTATGGTCCAGTTAAACTAACCTTCTCTCTTTTCCCACATGATGTGCCATCGACTGCCTCTGTGGTTTTTCACTGCTTCTTTCTGTGACCTGGAATGCACTCAATCTTCACTTCTACCTCACAGAATCCCTCACTTCTTTCAGGACCCAGCTTAAGCATCACCTTCTACAGGTGATTTTCTTTAACTCCTTAACTACCTTGTATTAAGTACTTTGTGTTTAATTTCTGAGGGGCAGCACAGTGTAGTGGACAGTAAGCTATCCTTGGAGTTAAGCTCTAGGTTCAAGTCTTACCTCTGGAAAGTAATGGATAATTGTGTAACAATGAACAAGTTATTTAAAATCTCAGGACTCAGGCAATGCTCCATAAGAGCAGATTTCAGTTTTAATTTAATAGATGAATTTTCTTACTACTTTAGTAGATGAATTCTCTTTGCTAATGAAATCACAGGTTTGGCCCAAAGATTAATTTTATTTTATTCTGTGTATACACTGCATATACACCATATATAGTGGTGTTCAAAGCCCATCATAACCTAGTCCTCTCCTACCTTTCCAGTCTTTTTTTACATCTTACTCCATATGATGTACTTTTCCATCCAGTAACATTAGCTCCCTTGCTATTCCACCAAGACACTCAATCTTGTGGCTCTGGGCATTTCCCCTGTCTATCCACCATGACTAGAATGCTCTGCATTCTCATCTCCATCTCTTGCCTTCCTTCAAGTTCCACCTAAAACAGTACCTTCTACAGGAAGCCTTTCCCAACCCCTTCCAATTCAAATGCCTTCCCTCTGTTAATGACTTCCTATTTATTCTGTATATAGCTTGTTTGTACGTATTTATTTGTTTGTTGTCTTCCTCATTAGATTGTGACTTTTTGAGGTCAGGGATCACTTTTTGCCTTTTTTTGTATTCCCAGCACTCAGCACAGTGCCTGACATGTAGTAGGTGCTTAATAAATGTCTGTTGAGTAATTGATTAACATATATACATATTTTATCCTACTATAATATGTAAACTTCTTGAGAGCTGGGACTGTTTCTTTCTTCTTTATCTTTGGATCCCCAAGTGCCCAGTACAATGGCTGCTATGTAGTAGGCTCTTAAGAATGTTGGTTTATTGTTCCAAATTGCTTTCCAGAATGGTTGGACCAATTCATAGCTGCACCAAAGGTAGATTAGTGTGCCTCTCCTTTTACAACCCTTTTCAACATTGACTATTTTCATCTTCTGTCAACAACTTTGCCAATTTGCTCGGTGTAAGGTGAGATCTAAGTTGTTTTGATGTGAATTTCTCTTGTTACTAGTGATTTGGAACATTTTCCCTTATTGTTATTAATAGTTTGTAATTATTCTTTTGAGAACTGTTTGTTCATATCCTTTGATCATTTAATCCATTAGGTAAAAATAGCTAATTTTTTTAGCTGTCCTATATATTTGTATTAGTTGCCTTTTATATCTTGGATATGTCTCTTTTTGGAGATATTTCACATAAATACTTTTTCCCAATTAAGTGCTTCCCTTCATATCTTAAGTATATTAATTATGTTTGTTCAAAAGGTCTTAATTTCACATATTCTAAATAATCTATTTTGTCTTTTGTTATTGCCTCCGTCCCTCATTTGGTTAAGAATTTGCCTCCTACCCATAGCTGTGAAAGATATTTGTGTGATTCTACCCTTACTTTTGTTATGATATGACCTTTGATAGAAAAAATAGGCATACATTAAGGCACAAAGAAATTTCAAATAACTCTAAAAAGACATAAATGTTAAATGCATCCATTACAGACTATAATATAATGAAAATCACAATAAATTCAGAGAGGGCAAACAGAAAACACAGACCTAAAAGGAAACCTAAAATTAAATCCAAGATAACTAGTGGGTCAAAGAACAAATAATAGAAAAAAAATTAATGTTTATGTGAAAGATAATAGAAATGTGAAAGATAAAATAAAATATATTGGAATGTTTGGGATATGGCTAAAGCTGTCATCAGAGGGAAAAATTATATCCTTAAAACACATATTTATACAATAGAAAAAGAAAAGATTAAGAACTGAATATCCCTTCAATAAATTATAAAAACCAACAAATAACCCCAAAATAAGCACAAAAGAGGAAAAGGTTGCTTCCTTTATCTGCTATTATTTTAAATAGTTTTTGAAGTACTAGAAATAGCAATAAGACAAGCTAAACATATTAAATACATAAAGATGGGCAGGAAAGAGACAAAACTATCCCTTTTCACTGATAAAATAATGGTTTACTTAGGAAATCTAAAGATTTACCGCAGAAACTAATTGAAACAATTAATACCTTCATCAAAGTTTAAGGCTATAAAATAAACTTACAAAATCAATAGGATTTCTATATTATAACAAAGTAAAAGAGGCAGTAATAGATAGGGAAGTATCATTCAAAATAACTACAAAACACATAAAATATTTAGAAATTAGTCTATAAAAGCACATCTAATACATGTATTCATTCAGTTACAAAATGCAAAGGAATGCTTATGTATCTGAGAGGACATTCAGTGCTCATGGCTGGGCCATACCGAATTAATAAATATGACATTATTATCAAAGTTAATTTATAGATTTATTGCTATACCAATCAAACTATCAAAAGGATACTTACTTTACAGATAACTAGACAAAAATAATAGCACAATTGGCTTGGAGCAGAAAAAAGATCTAGAATATGAAGAGAAATAATGAAAAAGAATAGTAATAAAGAAGGAATAGTGATTTTTAGATCTGCAACTATTGCAAAATAGCAGTCATCAAAACCACTTAGTACTGGTTAAAATATTTAAAAAAGTAAATTGCTGGAGCCAACTAGACAAGGAAGAATCAGAAATTATTGTACTCAAAAATTCAGCATTCAGTACTCCTCCAAAAATATAAAGTACATAGGAAAGTGCTCTGTCTTTGAAAAGAATTTTTTGGAAAATTGGAGAGTAGTCTGGAATAAATTAGATTTAAAGGATATCTTTATATTGTATTCCATGATAAATAAATATCACATACATTTCATTTCTGTGAATAGAGGATACTTCATGTAACTAAACAAGGGATAGTGGCAATTTTAAATGATAAAATAGATGAATTTGGTTACTTAAAATTGAAAAGCTTTTGCACCAATAAAATTTAATGCATATAGGATAAAAGAGGGATAAGTTGATTAAGGAAAATTTTTACCTGTGTGTTGTATACTTCTGATAAGGATTTGATATGCAAAATATACAGACCACTAACAGAAATGTGTAAGAGCAAATGCAATTCCCCAAGACAAAAGTAGTCAAAGTATCCTTTGAACAGTTTTCAAAAGAAGAATGGAAAACTATTAATAACCATATTTAACATTTTTCCAAATCATTAGTAAGAAAATAAACACAAATGAAAAGAATCTTGAGGTTTCACCTTACTCCTAGTAAACTGAGATGACAAAAAAAATGACAAAAGATGAAAAGAATCAATGATGGAGGGATTGTGCAAAGATACTAACACATTGTTTATGGAGCTGCATACTGGTCCTACCATTCTGGAAAGCAACTTGGAATTACACAAATAAAGTGACCCTTTGACACTGCTAAGCATCTATTTTAAGGAGGTCATTGACACAAAGAATGTTTCCATATACATAAAATATTTTATAACAATATTTTTTGGGAGTAGCAAAGAACTGGAAACAAAGTAGCTGCCCATTAGAAATTGCTGTGCTGTAAGAAACAGCAAACATAATGCATCTGTAGAGAAGCATGGACAAATTCATATGAGCTGATACAGAGTAAAGTAAGCAGAACTAGGAAGGCAATATAAATAATGATGAAAACAATATAAATGATAAAAACAATTAAAAATAATCAAACTGAATGTTGTGAAATCCAAGAACAAGTTGGACCCCAAAGAAGAGGTTTGAGAAAACACCTTTCCCATGCATTGTTGCAGAGGTACAGTTCCATTGTACGTGCCATTTAAAAAAAATGTTGATTAGTTTTACTGTATTTTTTCTCTTAGTCCTCTTTCGAAAATATATTATAAGGAATGGCTCTTGGGAAGGTATAGAGGGAGGGATACAAGGAGAAATGTAGGTAATGTAAAAAATAAAATGTATTAAAATATCTTTTAAAAATATTAAAATCACATCCATTTGGAGTTTATTGTGGGTATATGTGGCATAAGAGGATATAAACTCGATTTCTGCCATCCTACTTTCCAGTTTTCCCAAATACCTGTGATTTTTTGAGTAACAGAGGAAGGGTCAACATAAGGATAGTTGGTGGGGGATAAGTGTGAGCTGGGCCAGTGAAGATAGAAGTTTGGAGGAGAGTACTGTTATGGGATTTTTCATCTTGGTATGGTGGAAAGAGCTTGAAATTTAAGGATTCTAGGTTCATATCATATTTATCTGCTCTTTAATCCCTATGTGACCTTGACAAACCCCATTAGCTCACTGGACCTTAGTTTCTGACTCTATGAAAATTATGAGACTAGACCAGATGATCTCAAAGGTCAGTTCTAGCTCTAAATGTATCATCCTGTGATTTTATGAATCCTTACATGAATCTCTCTTGTCCCTGTCCTGTAGTTAGGCCAGAAGTCTGGTTGTCAAGTAGTCCCACCCCTGTTCCAGGGCAGCTGAAACTACTTTGTCATGTCTCAGGATTTTACCCAAAGTCGGTGAGGGTGACTTGGATAAAGAATGGACAAGAGCAACCAGGAACAGGTGACCTCCTGCCAAATTCAGATGGGACATGGTATCTTCAAGTTATTCTCAATGTGGAAGATGGAAAAACAGCCAATCTGGCTTGCAGGGTAGAACACAGTAGTCTTGGTGGTCAGGACATCATCTGATACTGGGGTGAGAAATGGGGAATGGGAAGAAAATGGTGCTAGAATGTAGAAGAAGGGGGTAAATGGGATGGTCACAAGACTGGGAAGAGAAGAAGATAGAGAATCCTAGACTCAGGAGGGAGGAAAACATGAAACCTTGGACCTAAGAAGGATCAAAAGGAACCTTGGGCCCAAAAGGGAAGAGGATGGAGGTCACAGACTTAGGATGGAAAGGGATAGAGAATCTCAGGCTCAGGAAGGATGGGGTAGAGGAAAGATCCCAGTTTAGGGTCCTTATGTGCTAATATCTCCCATGTCCAGCCAAAAGCTCTACCTGGCCCTTGGCTCTGGGGATCTCAGCTGGGATTGTTGTGGTGGTTTTGTTAGTATTTGGAGTCATCTGGTGGAAGAATCAACATAGGTGAGTCTATCTGTTTCCACTCATTCCATTACCTCCACTTTTATTTCTACTTCTCTCTTTTTCTCTCAATCTCTTTCCTCCTTCACCTTTTCTCCCAGTATACATTCCTGCTTAGGGCCAGCAGGAATGCTTTTACCTTAACTCAGAGGGATGCTTACCTCTGCTTTCCCTACAGGTCATATGAAGACATTCTGTGACACTCTTCTCCCACTATCTTTCTCCTATTGGAGTCAAAGCCCTGGAATCTCAGAAACTCGGTACTGTTTAACTCAAGAGTCATAGCAGTCTGGAATATTTTGCCTCCTTATTGTCCTCTTTCTCCCAGCAAGTATTTGTAATACATGAGCTCCCAAAGATATAAACATTGGCTTTCCTTCCTCTAATACCGTCGACTTTAACTTTGGCTGTTAACACCATTCCCTGTGAGCTCCCCCCAAGTACAATGGAGGGGGGAATGTTAACTGGAAATTAATTATCTTTTTTTTACACATTTTGTGTTCCTGGCACTACACTAGACATATGAGCATATGCAAGAGGAAAACAGGGTCCTTGCCTTTGAAGAGCTTGAATCTCAAAGGAGGCTGACCAGGAGGGAATACCATAGAAAAGATAAGTAGTCTAGTGAAGAGAAGACTTTTATAGATTAGAGAGGGGCATGATTGCTGTCTTTAAGTGTTTGAAAGTTGGCCAAGTTGAAGAAGAATTAGACATGTACTACTTTACCCCAGAAATAAGAATAAAGGGCAGTGGGTAGAAGTTGTAGAGAGGCACATTTTGACTCATTGCAAGAGAAACTTGCTGACAATTACATCTCTCCTAAAGAGGAACAGACTGTCTCAGGTCGTCATGAGTTTCCTTGCACTGGAGATCTCTAAGTGAATGCTAGATGGCTACTTGGTAGGAATAAAAACAGTTTTCCCATCCAAGTACAGACATATCTACCTCAGAGATATTGTGGCTTCTGTTCTAGAGCCCCACAAGAAAGTGAATATTGCAACAAAGTGAGTCACATGAATTTTTTGATTTCTCAGTGCATATAAATGTTATATTTATGTTATACTGTAACCTATCAAGTGTGCAATAGTATTATGTCTAAAGAAACAATGTGTATACTCTAATTAAAGCTACATTATTGCAAAAAACAATGCTGTCATACGAGCTTTCAGTGAGTCATAATCTTTTTGCTGGTGGAGGTTCTTGCCTTGATGTTGATGGCTGCTGATTGATCAGGGTGGTGGTTGCTGAAGGTTGGGGTGGCTGTGGCAATTTCTTAAAATAAGACAACATTGATGTTTGCCATATTAATTGATTCTTACTTTGATGAAAATTTCTCTGTAGCATATAATGATGGTTGATGGCATCTTACTCACAGTAGAATTTCTTTCAAAATTGGAGTTAATCCTCTCAACCCTTGCCACTGCTTTATTAACTGCTTATGTAATATTCTTCAATATTGTTTTGTTTCAGGGAATAGGGAGACCTGAGGAAAGTTGAGGAAACGGTGGTTGGTGGAGCAGTCAGAATGCACCCACTTATTGATTAAATGTGCCATCTTATGTGGGTGCTGTTTGTGGTGCCCCAAAAACAATTACAATAGTAACATCAAAGATCACTAATCAAGGATCACCATAACAGATATAATAATAATGGAAAAGTTTGAAATATTGTGAAAATATGACACATTGTGAGCACATGCTAGTAGAAAAATGGTGCCAATAGATTTGCTTAACCAAGCGTTGCCACTAACCTTCAGTTTGTTAAAACAACAACAACAACAAAAACCCAAATTGTAGTGTCTGAGAAGCAAAATAAAGTGAAACACAATAAAACAAAGTATGCCTCTTCTATCTGACCAGAATGTTGATAGTCTGTGAAACATAGTTGGGGAGTGAAAGCATAGGAATTTAAACTAGGTAGCAATTCTATATCAACTCCTTTGATGAATATATCATTCTTTCACCAAATCTTTTCAAATTTTGCTTAAATGTAATCATTACAAAGATTTGGGGGCAGAGAGAAGAAGAGAGAGAGAGTGAGAGAGAGAGAGAGAGAGAGAGAGAGAGAGAGAGAGAGAGAGAGAGAGAGAGGAAGAGAAGAAAAGGAAGAAGGAAGAGAAGGAGAAGGAGAAGAAGAAGGAGAAAGAGAAGCAGAAGGAGAAGAGAAGAGAATAGATTGGGTACATGATATACAGAAGCAAATAAACACAGTAGAATATTGTTTTGATAAAGCCAAAGACTCTAGTTACTGGGGGAGGTACTCTCCATCTGACAAAAATTGCTGGGAAAAATGGACAGCAGTCTGGTAAAAACCCAATGTTTTGACCCACACCTTACAATCTACAACATGATAGGCTACAATGGATACATGAGCTACATATAAAAGGTCATGTTATAAAAACAATTGGAAGAGAAATTATTTTTTAGATCTAAAATTAGGGGAAGAGTTCATGACTAAATAAGTGATAGGTTAAGATAAATTGGATAACTTTGATCAAATTAAAATAAAACATTATTGCATAGAGAAATCTAATATAAAAATTAGGAGAGAAAACGGTAACTGGGAAAAATCTTTACAACAAGTTTCTCTGATAGAGGTCTCATTTTCTAGGAACTGATTCAAATTTTTAAGACTAAAGTCATTTCCCAATCAATCAGTGGTCAAAGGATATAATGAGGTTTCCAAAAGAAGAAATCTAAGCTGTCAATAATCACATAAAAATGCTTTAAATCACTAATAATTAGAGAAATGCAAGTTAAAGCAATTTTGAGGTTTTACCTCACCCCTATCAATCTGACAAAGATGATGAAAGAGGAAAATGACAAATGTTGGGGGAGCTATGAGAAAACAAATACACCAGTACCCTGTTAGTGGAGCTATGAATTGGTTTGGCTACTCTGGAAAGCAATTTGGAACTGTGTCCAGAAAATTATGAAACTATACATGCCCTTGACCCACCACTAGGCTTGAAAATTAAAGAAAAAGGAAAAAGATAAAAATGTACATATTCGTAGCAGCTCTTTAATAGGAGTCAAAAATTGAAATTAAGGGGGTGTCTACCTATTGGAGAATTACACAAATTATGATATATGAATGTAATGGAATATTATTGTGCCATAAATAATGATGAAATTGACAATTTCAAGGGAAATTCTATGAACACAGAGCCAAGTGAACAGAAATAGGAGAACAATTTATACAATGATAACAACATAGAGAAAACCACTTTGATCACAAGCAAAACTTTGGTAACCACAGACAGCATAAAATGCCTAGGAGTATATCTGCCAAGACAAACCCAGAAACTGCATGAACATAATCATGAAACACTTTTTATACAAATAAAGTGAGATTTAAAGAACTGGAGAAAATTGTTCATGGATGGGCAGAGCCATTATAGTAAAAATAACAATTCTACATAATCTACTTACTCAATGTCATCCCAATTAAATAATAAAAAAAAATTCATCAAGCTGGAAAAATAATAGCAAAATTCATTTGGGAAAACAAAAAGTCAAGAATAAAAGGAATTAATTTTTAAAAATGTAAAGAAAGGAGGCTAAACGGTACCAGATCTTAAACTGTATTATAAGGCTATCAAAACTATTTGTTTGATAGTATTATCAAAACTATCTGGTACTGGCTAAGAAATAGAGAAGGGGATCAGTGGAACAGAGTAGACATACAATTTACGGAGTAAATGATTATAGTAATCTTGTGTTGGACAATGTCAGGATTTAAATTTATGGGATAAGAGTTCATTATTTGGTAAAAAGTTGTTGAGATAGCTAGGTGCTGCAGTGGATAGAGCACTAGCCTGGGAGTCAGGAGGAACTGAGTTCAGATCCAGCCTCAGACACTTGACACTTAACTAGCTATGTGACCCTGGGCAAGTCACTTAACCCCATTGCCTAGCCCCCCCCAAGTTGTTGGGAAAACTAGAAAGCAGTATGGCAGAAATTGGGTATAGACCAATATCAGACACAAATTTACCAACATAAGGTCAAAATGGATACGTGATCCAGATAAAAACGGAGCTTAAAGTAAATTAGAGGAACATAGAACATATTACCTATCAGACTTATGGATAGGAGAAGAACTTAATAATAAACAAGAGGCAGAGAGCATTGTGAGATGTAAAATGGATCATTTTGATTACATTAAATTAAAGGGTTATAGAGATAAAACCAATGTAGCTCAGATTAGAAGGAAAGCAGAAAACTGGGAAAAATTTTTATAGTTTCTCATATAAAAGTCTCATAATTCAAATACATAGAGAACTTTGTCAAGTTTATAAAAATATGAATCATTTCCCAATTGGTAAATGGTCAAAGATATGAATAGGCAGTTTTTCAATGAAGAAAGCAAAGCTATATATAGTCACATGAAAAATGCTCTAAATCATTATTGATTAGAGAAATGCTAATTGAAACAACTTTAAGATATCTTATATTTATCAGATTAGCTAAGAAGGGGAAAATGACATGTTGATGGGGACATGGAAAAATTGGGGTACTACTGCACTATTGGTGGAATTGTGAACTGATTTAACCATTTTAGAGAGCAATCTGGAATTATGCCCAAAGAGTTACAAAACTTTGTGTACTGTTTGATCCAGTGATACCACAATTAGTTTGTTTCAAGGTGATCAGGGAAAAAGCAAAATAACCTATATCTTCTAAAATATTTATAGCAGCTTTCTTTGTAGTGGCAAAGAACTGGTAATTGAGGGAATTCCCGTCAGTTGAGGAATGGCTAAATAAGTTATGGTATATGATTGTGATGGAGTATTACTGTGCTGAAAGAAATGGTGAGCTGGTTGATTTTAGAAACACATGGAAAGACTTGCATGAAATAATGAAGAGTGAAATGAGCAGAACCAAGAGAGCATTGTATACAGTGACAGCAATGTTGTTCAAAGAGTAACTGAATGACTAAGTTATTCTGAGTGTTCTAAATACTGAGATCAACTACAAAGGACCTATAAAAGAAGATGCTATCCACCTCCAGAGAAGAACAGATAAACAGAAGTATGCATAAGAGTAACTGAATGACTAAGTTATTCTGAGTGTTCTAAATACTCAGATCAACTACAAAGGACCTATAAAAGAAGATGCTATCCACCTCCAGAGAAGAACAGATAAACAGAAGTATGCATAGTATGGTTTTAGATATATCTATATCTATATCTGTGTCAAATGGTAGCCTTCTCTAGTATGAGTTAATGAGAGAGAGAGGGAGATAGTTTGGAATTTAAAATGTAACAAAAAATAAATAAAACAAAAGAAAAAAAGCAAAAGAAAAAAATTTTGAAAGACTTTAGAAATCTAAGCAATGCAGTGATAAACCACAAGTCCAAAACAATAAAAATGAAACATGCCATTCATATTCAGATGGGTAAATGATGAACTTAAGATGCAGAAAGAAAAATTTTTTTTAGACATGATTAATATGGCAATTAAATTTTCTGTTCTGTGTAGATATGTATTGAGAGATTTTTTTTTGTTTTTGAAATTTCCCAAAGAGTGTGCAGACAATGAGAAGGAGAGATGAATAAGAATAAATGCTTGCTACTTGAAAAAAAATATTATTTGTTACATGGAGTGTCTCTCTGGGAGGAGGGAAAATACTGGGAAGAATTTAAGTGATGTAAAAACAAAATACAGTTATAATTTTTTGAGAAAGAAGTTATGTGACCACTCCTAGATCATATTTGTAGTATCAGAATTGGTATTTCAATCCAAGTTCTCCCACTTAGGCAGCTAGGTGGTACAGTGGATACAGTGCCAGGCCTGAAGTTAGGAAGACTCATGTTCATGCGTTCAAATCCGGCCTCAGACACTTGCTAGCTGTGTGACCCTGGACAAGTTACTTCACCCTGTTTGCTTCACTTTCCTCATTTGTAAAATGTGTTGGAGAAGGAATTGACAAAGCAGTCCTGTATCTTTGCCAAAAACAAAAACAAACCAAAAAACAACACAAATGGGATCACAAAGAATTGTACACTGCTAAACAATCCCACTTACGTTAAAGGGAATAGAGAGTAAAATTAACATTATCCTTTTGTGTTGATGTGTCAGTCTACAAGTAGCTGAGGCAGCTGGAAAGTTGAGTATAAATTGCTCAAGGGAATTAGAATTAATTACATACAGTGTAACAGGGGAGGGAGTAGCTGCCCAACACAGGGATT